AGAGAGCCCTCATCACATCAGAGGTCCTCCCATCACATCAAAGAGGTCCCCTCAACACATCAGAGGTCCCCCATCACATCAGAAAGCCCTCATCACATCAGAGGTCCCCCATCATCACATCAGAGGTCCCTCATCACATCAGAGAGCCCTCATCACATCAGAGAGCCCCTCATCACATCAGAGAGCCCTCATCACATCAGAGAGCCCTCATCGCATCAGAGGTTCCCCCATCGCATCAGAGGTTCCCCCATCGCATCAGAGGTTCCCCCATCGCATCAGAGAGCCCTCATCGCATCAGAGAGCCCTCATCACATCAGAGAGCCCTCATCGCATCAGAGAGCCCTCATCGCATCAGAGAGCCCCATCACATCAGAGAGCCCTCATCACATCAGAGAGCCCTCATCACATCAGAGGTCCTCCCAGCACATCAGAAAGCCCTCATCACATCAGAGGTCCCCTCATCACATCAGCGGTCCCCTCATCACATCATCACATCAGAGGTCCCCGTCGTCACATCAGAGGTCCCCTCATCACAACAGAGGTCCCTCATCACATCAGAGGTCCCCTCATCGCATCAGAGAGCCCTCATCGCATCAGAGAGCCCCATCACATCAGAGAGCCTTCATCACATCAGAGGTCCCCTCATCACATCACAGAGCCCCTCATCACATCAGAGAGCCCCTCATCACATCACAGAGTCCCTCATCACATCACAGGTCCCCTCATCACATCAGAGGTCCTCCCATCACATCAAAGAGCCCTCAACACATCAGAGGTCCTCCCATCACATCAGAAAGCCCTCATCACATCAGCCCCCTCATCACATCAGAGGTCCCCTCATCACATCAGCGGTCCCCTCATCACATCAGAGGTCCCCTCATCATCAGAGAGCCTTCATCGCATCAGAGGTCCCCCATCACATCAGAGGTCCCCTCATCACATCAGAGAGCCCTCATCACATCAGAGAGCCTTCAAATCATCGCATCAGAGGTTCCCCCATCACATCAGAGAGCCCCCTCATCACATCAGAGAGCCTTCATCACATCAGAGAGTCCCCCATCATCACATCAGAGAGCCCTCATCGCATCAGAGTTCCCCCATCACATCAGAGGTCCCCTCATCACATCAGAGAGCCTTCATCACATCAGAGAGGTCCCCTCATCACATCAGAGAGCCCTTAACCAGAGAGCCCTCATCGCATCAGAGAGCCCCCTCATCACATCAGAGAGCCCTCATCACATCACAGAGTCCCTCATCACATCAGAGAGCCCTCATCGCATCAGAGAGCCCTCATCGCATCAGAGAGCCCTCATCGCATCAGAGAGTCCCTCATCACATCAGAGGTCCCCTCATCACATCAGAGAGCCTTCATCGCATCAGAGGTTCCCCCATCACATCAGAGGTCCCCTCATCACATCAGAGAGCCCTCATCACATCAGAGAGCCCTCATCGCATCAGAGGTTCCCCCATCACATCAGAGAGCCCTCATCACATAAGAGAGCCTCATCACATCAGAGGTCCCTCATCGCATCAGAGGTTCCCCCATCACATCAGAGGTCCCCTCATCACATCAGAGGTCCCCTCATCACATCAGAGGTCCCCTCATCACATCAGAGAGCCCTCATCGCATCAGAGAGCCCTCATCGCATCACATCACGCATCAGAGAGTCCCCTCATCGCATCAGAGAGCCCTCATCCGCATCAGAGGTCACATCAGAGGTCCCCTCATCACATCGCCTTCATCATCAGAGTTCCCCCATCACATCAGAGGTCCCCTCATCACATCAGAGAGCCCTCATCGCATCAGAGAGCCCTCATCGCATCAAAGGTTCCCCCATCACATCAGAGAGCCCTCATCACATAAGAGAGCCTTCATCACATCAGAGGTCCCCTCATCACATCAGAGAGCCCTCATAACGCATCAGAGGTTCCCCCATCACATCAGAGAGTCCCCTCATCACATCAGAGAGCCCTCATAACATCAGAGGTCCCCTCATCACATCAGAGAGCCCTCTAACATCAGAGAGCCCTCATCGCATCAGCGAGCCCTCATCGCATCAGAGAGCCCTCATCACATCAGAGAGCCCTCATCACATCAGAGGTCCCCTCATCACATCAGAGAGCCCTCATCACATCACAGGTCCCCTCATCACATCAGAGGTCCTCCCATCACATCAAAGAGCCCTCAACACATCAGAGGTCCTCCCATCACATCAGAAAGCCCTCATCACATCAGAGGTCCCCTCATCACATCAGCGGTCCCCTCATCACATCAGAGGTCCCCTCGTCACATCAGAGGTCCCCTCATCACATCAGAGGTCCCTCATCACATCAGAGGTCCCCTCATCACATCAGAGGTCCCTCATCACATCAGAGGTCCCCTCATCACATCAGAGAGCCCTCATCACATCAGAGGTTCCCTCATCGCATCAGAGATCCCCTCATCACATCAGAGAGCCCTCATCGCATCAGAGAGCCCTCATCGCATCAGAGGTTCCCCCATCGCATCAGAGATCCCCTCATCACATCAGAGATCCCCTCATCACATCAGAGAGCCCTCATCACATCAGAGAGCCCCTCATCACATCAGAGAGCCCTCGTCACATCAGAGGTCCCCTCATCGCATCAGAGGTCTCCTATAACATCAGTGTCCTCCCATCACATCAGAGGTCCTCCATCATATCAGAGGTCATTCAGCACATCAGAGGTCTTCCCATCACATCAGAGGTCCTCCATCATATCAGAGTGCCATCATCACATCAGAGGTCCCCCATAACATCAGTGTCCTCCCCATCACATGAGAGCCCCCTCCCCCATCACATCAGAGTGCCATCATCACATCAGAGGTCCCCTATAACATCAGTGTCCTCCCATCATATCAGAGGTCCCCTATCACATCAGAGCCCCTCATATCAGAACCCCCCATCATCACATCAGAGGTCCTCCCATCACATCAGAGTTCCCCACCATATCAGAAGGCCTTCTATCACAGCAGAGTCCCCCATCACATCAGAAGCCCACCACCTCATCAGAGTCACCCATCCTATCAGACTCTCCCCATCACATCAGAGGTCCTCATCATATCAGGAGTCATCCAGCACATCAGAGGTCCTTCCATCACATCAGAGACCCCCCCCCCCCCCATCATATCAGAGATCCCCTATAACATCAGTGTCCTCCCATCATATCAGAGGTTCCCTATCACATCAGAGCCCCCCATCACATTGGAGGTCCCCCCATCACATCAGAGGTTCCTTATCACACCAGAGCCCCCCATCACATCAGAGTTCCCCATCATATCAGAAGGCCTTCTATCACAACAGAGTCCCCCATCACATCAGAAGCCCACCACCACATCAGAGTCGCCCATCCTATCAGACTCTCCCCTTCGCATCAGAGGTCCCCTATCACAGAGTCCCCCAACACACCTGAGGAAATGCTGTTTTCTGTCCTCTCCCTCCAGTGCTCTGTGCTGGCAGTGCTGAGTAACAGCCACACCCCTCAGCAGTTGTCTTCGCACAGGCTCATATTGCAGGTGAAGGGGTAGGGGGATGTGCCAAGCCACCAACATCAGTTTCCTCCAACCAGATTCCATAATCAGCTGAGAATACGGATGGCTGAAATTCCTACAATGTACATTATTCACTCGTGGGGATTTTTTTTTCCCTTAAAGCTGAAAATATTTGGGACATTTCCAATGTAATAATGTTACCACCAAAGATGCTCGCCCCATCTGTGGCTGCTGTGTTCTTTTCACCCAATACAAGGCATTCTGTCATTGGGGGAGGGGCGGTTTGTGCCATTCATTTGCCCCTCCCCCAATCACAGGATACAATGCATTCTGTGATTGGAATAGGGGCGATTGTGCCATTCATTTGCCCCTCCCCCAATCACAGAATGCATTGTATTCTGTGAACATAAGCCATTTTATGAATGGAGGAGGCGGAGCACGAGCGGCCCTCTATGACACGGGTGTCAAACTGGCGGCCCTCCAGCTGCTGTCAAACTACAAGTCCCATGATGCATTGCAAGACTAACAGTCACAAGCATGACTCCCAAAGACAGAGGCATGATGGGACTTGTAGTTTTGCAACAGCTGGAGGGCCGCCAGTGTGACACCCCTGATCTATGAGAACTGTACTCCAGCTCGAACCCCCGCCCCCTCTTTTGCCGCCTACCACTTCCTGTTTGATTAGCTACAATGGAGGGCAGGGGAGACATCAGGGGTTATCGCATAGGGAGCTTGTCAGCCCTCCTGTGATAGCAATAAAGTTAAATGAAAAAAAAGTACAAAAAAAATTGCAACAAAATAAATAAAAATTACTAAAAAAAAAAAATATATAAAAACACCCTCATCGCCCCGCGCATCACACTAACGCGAATGTGTGCGTACGGCGTGCATGTAAACACTCCATTGCGCTACACATATAAGGCATCGCCGCGAACGTTGGAGCGAGAGCCATAATTTTAGGGCCTTATCTCACAGTTAATTCTGAAGTGATGACCTTTAAAAGCTTTTAAAATGTTGCATGTGGAGAATTTCGGGTGCTGTAGTTCTGCCACTTGACAATCGTGCAATTTTGAGGCTTGGCACGTTTGGTATCCATTTACTTGGCGCAACCCAATTTTTTGCATCATATGTGGGTACTATATTGTGTTTGTGTGCACTGAAATAAAAAAAAAATGTTTTTTACTAATAAAAATAGCAAATATCACGTGACATAAAAAAAAAAATTCAACTACCACCATTTTATTTTCTAGGCCTCTGCTTTTAGAAAATGTATAAAGTATATAATATATATCTATATATATATCTATATATTAGATATATAGATAGATATATACATACACATATATATATATACATACACACGGAGGGCGACGTTCGACGTCGAGACCCAAAAATATCATGGGTGGAGCGTGTGACGTCGGTTGCTGCGTACAGCTTCCGGTTGCTATGGTGATACTCTCCGGCCTGGTCGGAGCTCTGAAGCCTGGAGATGCCGCAGGAGATCTCCCCGCCGCCGTCCTCTCCACGTGTGCTCCGCTCCCTCAACACCCGGCAGCTGGTCCAGGTCGTGTTCTGTAACCGGTCGAAGCGCATGGTGCAGCCCATATGGGTCAACTTCCAGGGGGCTCCGCAACCCTACCCGATCCTACCGCCCGAAACAGGCCGGAGGATGAACACCTATCTCGGTATGAGAGGGGGAGCGGGGTCCGGTGCCGTAGCTCTAGGGAGGGGCTGTTTCCGTATCTCTGGGGGTGGGGCTCCGTTTTCGTACCTTGGAGGGGGGATCCAGTGTCGCACCTCTATGGGGGTGGGTTCTGGTTTCGTATCTCCAGGGGGGGAGAGGGGTTCCGGTGTCGTCCCTCTGGGAGGGGGGGGTCCGGTGTCGTCCCTCTGGGAGGGCGGGGTCCGGTGTCTTACCTCTAGGGGGGGGGGGGGCTCCAGTGTCGTACCTCTAAGGGGGGGGGGGGGGGTCCGGTGTCTTACCTCTAGGAGGGGGGGGGGGGGGGTCCGGTGTCTTACCTCTAGGAGGGGGGGGGGGGTCCGGTGTCTTACCTCTAGGAGGGGGGGGGGTCCGGTGTCTTACCTCTAGGAGGGGGGGGGGGGGGGTCCGGTGTCCTCGGGGATGGGGGGGTGTCCGGTGTCGTTACCTCTAGGAGGGGGGGGGGGGTCCGGTGTCTTACCTCTAGGAGGGGGGGGGGTCTGGTGTCGTACCTCTACGGGGGGGGGGGGTCCGGTGTCGTACCTCTAGGAGGGGGGGTCCGGTGTCGTACCTCTAGGGGGGGGGGGGGGGTCCGGTGTCGTACCTCTAGGGGGGGGGGGGCTCCGGCGTCGTACCTCTAGGGGGGGGGGGCTCCCGGTGTCGTACCTCTAGGGGGGGGGGTCCGGTGTCGTACCTCTAGGAGGGGGGGGGGGTGGGTCCGGTGTCGTACCTCTAGGAGGGGAGGGGGGGTCCGGTGTCGTACCTCTAGGGAAGGGGGGGGGGGGTGTCGTACCTCTAGGGGGGGGGGGGTCCGGTGTCGTACCTCTAGGAGGGGAGGGGGGGTCCGGTGTCGTATCTCCGAATGGGAAGGGGGTCCGGTGTCGTATCTCCAGGGAGGAGAGGGGGTCCGGTGTCGTATCTCCAGGGAGGAGAGGGGGTCCGGTGTCATATCACCGGGGGGGGGGAAGGGGGGGGGTCTGGTGTCGTATCTCTGGGGGGGAGTGAGGGGGGGTCTGGTGTCGTGTATCTCTGGGGGGGAGAGGGGGTCCGGTGTCGTACTTCACAGGGGGAGGGGGGGGGTCTGCGCTCCAACCGTGACCCAAATGCTGGGGTATCATTTCCAGCGCCGTTCTTCTGTCCGTTCTGCAAAAAATTCAGGCATTCAGTAGGCAACCTCCTGGTAGCTGCTGCTCTACCACCCTCTGCAAAGTGACCTCCCGTGTATCGGTTTTCAGAGAGGTGGTTAATATTTCCGGAAGTGTGAACCAAAGAGGGGAGCTCCCCTCAATTTAGCGAGATCTCCTCTCACTTCCTGTTGTGTCTCTGGGACAGGAAGTTAGATGAAATCTCCACACTGGGGACACAGGAAGCAAGTGTAACTGCTTTTGTGGAAGATCAGGAAGCCGCCAGAGCGGCAGTTATCAGACATGACTTCAGCTCAGTGATTCCTCTTTTCTTCCTCCGTCTTGTAGGTCATATCTGGATGTTCCGGGAAATGGACACCGATCTACCGATGATGGTTAACAATAAGGAACTCTATATACCCACCCCCCAACGTGGGCGATCAGCCGGCATCTGTCATCATCTGTACACCAGGTAACTCAACATACTACATTCTACATACAACACCACACGTGACCTCCGTCCCAGGCTGGCAACATGGCGACACTCTAGAACATGCTGCTGAGCAGGACCCGTGCTCTCTGTGTGAAAGCAGTGGTCTCTGTGCAGCAGCTTCCTGCTAAGTCAGAGCTGTCCAATCAGCAAGTTCCTTGCTCCATGATTGGTTCCCTGAAACTGCCTCTCCAGTCACAGTCTCTGTGATGTCATCACACACAATGCAGGGCCAGTTGTCCTGCATTGAATATATGGAAGGTGAGGGCCCGCCCACATCCCAGAATGTTGGAGAATAGAGGGAGCAATAATAGAAATACCCCGGAGAAAATGAGCATTTAATACTTGCAGGGTGGGGGCTGGGCGCAGGGAGGGTCATTCTCACTGGAGTTCCGCTTTGGAACACTACCTCCTTCTACCTCCGATACTAACTACCCTGTAGAAGGAACATGATTATCCTCCCCTATTCCCAGAGTTCTCCGGTCCAGGCATGTCATGTCCCCAGAGGCTGGCTTCAGGGGGAAGAGAGAGCAATGCCTGGACGGTGACGTCACCCAAAGGCTTCCTATGGGGCATCTGTTCCTCCTCTTCCCTGACGCCCTCTGCTGGGAGCCGATCACATGACCCTAATTCCTTCTACAGGGCTTAGTTAGTTCTTATACTCTTCTTTACTTCCAGGTCACGCTTTAAACCCTTTACCACCCACCCTGGTGTCCCTTTAGTAAGTTCTGGACAGATTGGCCATTATGTGACCATGATCAGAAACATTGACTAGATAAAATAAACTTATATATAAATATATATATAAAATCGAGCGCAGTATGAGGATGTAGATAGGGTAGCTGCTGGCACTGAAAGGCACCTCGTGAACCTCCAGAGTAATGGTAAAATATGAAAGTGCAGCGCTAACTTAAACAATGATTACACATAAGATAGATTCCATATGAATGTGGATCGGCAAAAAAGACGGCGTCAGTTCATCAGATGTGCTAAATACGTATACAGTCTCCAACACTTGAAGAGCCAGGGATAGTAGATATCAGCAATGATAAAGAAAAGCCAAGTAATGCACTGACCAGATAGCGCAAGTTAAAGCGCATGGGACATTTAAGACCTGTCCCTGGTACTCAGCCACTGTATCACTGGAGCAAGGCGGTGTCATCTGTAGGGTGACCACTAGATGTCATCTGTCCGGATGGAAGCTGTGTCCAGCCACTGTGTTGATGGATCAGGTGGGTGTTGTCTGTAGGGTGACCACTAGATGTCATCGGTTCCAGGAGAAGCTGTATCACGGATCCAGGGATGTCACTGCAGATGTGTTCTTGTTAGGCACAATCCCAGGACCTACTGGATTTACAGGCTCCCCAGAAATAAAGAGCCCGTGGAAAAAGGCCTCAAATAGTGTGATAACGTTTATTTAAAATTGAACAATCAGAAAAGAACTTACTTAGCAAAGGTACAGCTGCTTATAAACGGCCAGACCGGAGGTACATGTACATAAGATAAATAAAGCTTGGCACTTCCCTAACGCGTAATCGTGTAAGTACACATCATCAATTTTAAATAAACGTTATCACACTATTTGAGGCCTTTTTCCACGGGCTCTTTATTTCTGGGGAGCCTGTAAATCCAGTAGGTCCTGGGATTGTGCCTAACAAGAACACATCTGCAGTGACATCCCTGGATCCGTGATACAGCTTCTCCTGGAACCGATGACATCTAGTGGTCACCCTACAGACAACACCCCACCTGATCCATCAACACAGTGGCTGGACACAGCTTCCATCCGGACAGATGACATCTAGTGGTCACCCTACAGATGACACCGCCTTGCTCCAGTGATACAGTGGCTGAGTACCAGGACAGGTCTTAACCCCCTCTCCCCCCCTTCTCCGCCTCCTCTCCCCCCCCTCCCCCCCTCTCCCCTCCCCCCCCCTTCCCTCTCCCCCCCCTCTCCCCTCCTCCCCCCCTCTCCCCCTCTCTCCCCCCCCCTCCTCTCTCCCCCCCCCCCCCCCTCTCTCTCTCCCCCCCCTCTCCCTCCTCCCCCCCCCTCCTCTCCCCCTCCCACCCCCCCCCTCCTCCCCCTCTTCTCTCTCCCTCCCCCTCCCCCCCCCCCCCCCCCTCTCCTCCCTCCCCCCCCCCCCGCCATCCCCCTCCCCCCTCCCCCCCCCTCCCCCTCCCTCCCCCCCACCCCCCCCCTTCCCCGCTCTCCCCCCCCCCCTTCTCCCCTCCCCCCCCCTTCCCTCTCCCCCCCCCCCTTCTCCCCCCCCCCCCTCCTCCTCCCCCCCCCCTCCCTCCCCCTCCCCCCCTCCCCCTCTCCCCCCCCCTCTCCTCTCTCCCCCCCCCTCCCCCTCTCCCCCCCCCCCCTCCCCTCCCCCCCCCCTCCCTCCCCCCTCCCCCTTCCTCTCTTCCCTCCCTCTCCCCTCTTTCCCCCCCCCCTCTTCCCCCCCCACTCCTCCCTTCCCCCCTCCCCCTCTTCCCCCCCCCCTCCTCTCCCCCTCCCCCCCTCTCCTCTCTCCCCTCTCTCCCCCCACCTCCCCCCCCCCCCCTCCCCCCCCCTCCCCCCCCCCCCCCTCCCCCCCCCCCCCCCCCCCCCCTCCCCCACCCCCCCCCCCCCCCCCCCCCCCCTCTCTCCCCCCTCCTCCCCCCCCCCTCTCCCCCCTCCCTCCCCCCCCCTCCCCTCCCCCCCTCTCCTCCCTCTCCCCTCTCCTCTTCCTCCCTCCTCCCCCCCCCACCCCCTCCCCCTCCCCCTCCCTCCCCCCCTCCCCCTCTCTCCCCCCCCCTCTCTTCCCCCCCTCTCCCTCCCCCCCCCCTCCTCCCCCCCTTTCCCCCCCCCCCCCCCCCTCTCCCCACCCCCCCCCCCCCCCTCCCCCCCCCCCCCCCCTCCCCCCCCCCTTCCCCCCCCCTCCTCGCTCTCCCCCCCCCCCCCCCCCCCCCCTCCCTTCCCCCCCCCTCTCCTCCCTCTCCTCCCTTCCCCTCCCCCTCCCCCCCCCTCCCCCCCCTCCCCCCCCCTCCCCCCCTCCCCCCCCCCCCCTCCCCCCTCCCCCTCTCCCCCCCTCCCCCTCCCCCCTACTCCCCCTCCCCTCCCTCCCCCCCCTCTCCCCCCCTCTCCCCCTCCCCCTCTCTCTCCCCTCCCCCTCCTCTCCCTCCCTCCCCCCCCCCTCCTCCCTCCCCCTCTCCTCTCCCTCCCCCCCCTCCTCCCCCCCCCTCTCTCCCCCTCCCCACCCCCCTCCTCTCTCCTCCCCCTCCCCCCTCTCCCCCCCCCCTCCCCCCTCCCCCTCCCTCCCCCCTCCCCTCCCCCTCCTCTCTCCCCTCTCTCCCCCCTCTCTCCCCTCCTCCCTTCCCCTCTCTCCCCCTCTCTCTCCCCTCCTCCTCTCCCTCTCTCCCTCCCCCCCTCCCCCCCCCTCTCTCACCTCCTCTCTCTCCCCCCCCCTCTCTCTCTCCCTCTCCTCCTCCCTCTCTCCCTCCCCCCCCCTCTCCCCTCTCCCTCCCCTTCTCTCTCTCCCCTCCCCTCCCCCCCCTCCCCCCCCTCCTCCCCCCCCCCTCCCCCCTCCTCTCCCTCTCCCCCCCCCCCCCCTCCTCCCCCCTCCTCCCCCCCCCTCCCCCCTCCTCCCCCCCTCTTCCCCCTCCTCCCCCCTCCTCTCCCCCTCCTCCCCGCTCCCCTCCCTCCCCCTCCTCCCACTCCTCCTCTCTCCCCCTCCCTCCTCATCTCTCTCCCTCTCCCCCTCCCCCCCTCTCTCCCTCTCCTCTCCTCCCCCCTCTCCCCCCCTCTCTCTCTCCCTCTCTCCCCCTCCCCCCTCCTCTCTCTCCCTCCCACTCCCCCCTCCCCCCTCTCTCTCCTCCCTCTCCCTCCCCCTCCCCCGGTGCTCTCTCCCTCCCCCCCCCCCCTCTCTCTCCCCCCCCCTCTCCCCCCCCCCTCTCCCCCCTCTCTCCCCCCCTCTCTCCTCCCCCCTCCTCTCCCCCCCCTCTCTCCCCCCCCTCTCTCTCTCCCCCCCTCTCTCCCCCCTACTCTCTCTTTCGGCTCCTGCCATGTAAATGCCTTTTGCCACATTTGTTATGTTACATCCTTATTTTAAAATGGATTAAATAATTTTTTTCCTCAACAATTCTACAAACAATACCCCATAATGACAATGTGAAAGAAGATTGTTTTGAAATCTTTGCAGTTTGTTAAAAAAAAAAAAAACGCTCTCAATATTACTCTGCCTTCAGATGTGGGTTTCGCACTTACAATCCCACTTCCCTTACCGGTGGGCTTCCTCTTCTCTTGAATACTTGGGCATCTTCGCTTGACCCCCACCTATGACTCCCTTTTTGCTGCAAATTATTATCCTTTGCTTAGCTCTTTATCTTCTCTTATGCATTCTTGGCAATTTCCGCACCTGTCTTGGATAGGACGGGTTTCATTCAGTGAAAATGACCATCTTGCCGAAATTGTTATATTCTTTTTCGCACCCTCCCAGTGCGGGTTCCCCCTCATTTTCTTTCGGTTGCTTCAGGCGAAGTTTATGCGTTTTATCTGGGCCAATAAACACCCCAGAGTCTCTAGAAATACGCTCTTTGCTCATAGACTCCAGGTGGTCTTGGGGTACCTGATGTAACTAAGTATTATCAGGCGAGCCAGATTGCCCCCCTGTCTATGTTGCACGCTTCCTCTGATGTTCCTCTCTGGGTCCTGCTGGAACTACCTAATTGTGCCCCTATCGCACTGTCGACACTCCTATGGCTTCCCCCTGCCCTGCGCCCTACGGCGCTGAGTCCGATGTTGCTCCATGGTCTACAAGTCTGGGACTCGGTACGTTACTCCAGTGGCCTGATGTCACCCTTCTTGCCCTTGCTTCCAATCGTTAACAACCCTCTTTTCCCGCCGGGTCTAGATCACCCGAGGGCATTTTCTTGGTGGGTGGCTCATGGTTTCTCACAGGTGCAGCACTTTTTGGCTTTTTTTCGGTCCTTTCCCACCTGGAATGTCCTTCGAGAGTCTCGAGATGTTCCCCCAGCGGAATTTTTTTTTTCGGTACCTTCAATTGCGGCACTGGTTGCTTTCGCTGAGAGCCACTTCTGCTTTCCCATATCAGAAATCTGCCTTTGAACGGCTTTGCCAGCAGCGCCCAATGGCGCCCCGGGCCTTATCTCCCTTCTTTACGCAGCTTTGAACAGACGCTCGTCGCACACTTCTCTTTCATATGTTGTTCAGTGGGAACGTGACCTGGGAGTGACTGTGGATCCGGAGGACTGGAATAGGGCCTGGTCACTCATAGCTAAATGTTTTCATTTAATACGACCACGCTGGAAGCAGCCTACAAGGTATTGTTCCGTTGGTACTGGGTTCCGGCTCGTCTGGCCCAGGCTAACCCTGCCTGTAGTGATCGATGTTTTCGGGGTTGCGGCCATCGTGGCGATGTACTGCATATCTGCTGGTCATGCCCGAGGTTGGTTTGTTTTTGGTCTCGTGTGTTTGGCCTCCTCTTCACTTTGTTCCATCTCTCCATACGCCGGGACGCTCGTATGCTTTGCTTCATTGCCCCATACCGGGCCTCTTGGCTCGTCAGCAGCGATTGGCTTCCTATTTGTTTTTATCGGCCACTAGGACAATTGCTCAGGCCTGGAAGAGTCCGTTTGTACTTTTCCAGGGGGGTGCGGGATCGTATGACTACTATGATGCTCAACGAACAGATGTCGAGTATATGCAACGACTCTCAACATAAATTTTTGAAAATATGGGAACCGTGGTTGCAATACGCCTTTCCCACGCTCCCCCCGGCCAGTGTGGGGAGGTAATGGAGTTTTGGTATTGGCGCTTGTGGACCCCTGCTCTTTGGTGTTTTTTTTTTTTTTTTCTCTCCTTTCTTCTCTGCTCTTCTTCTCTCCTTTTCTGTTTGTTTTGATGTGACAGTGGACAGCTGTCTTTAGTTGCGATAGTCAGAGTCTCACTGATATTATTGTAACCTATGTGCCATTGATAGCCCCTACGTGGGCATACGTTTTGCTTTATTGGAATTAGAGTGTTGTCTGCTCTATTTTGCCTTTTTTTATCAGTGCAATTGATCCCCTGCGTGGGCGTGTTTTGTTGCCTCTGTTTTATACTGTTTAAAATTAATAAAAACCATTGAAATATAAAAAAAAAAAAAAACGAGACAAACCCCCACACATGTACATAAGTATTTACAGCCTTTGCTCAATACTTTGTTGAAGCCCCTTTAGCACCAACAACCGTAACAAATGTGGCAAACGTTAGGGCTGGGAATACTTTCTGGATGCACTGAGTAAGAACATGTGACATACGGTTCATGTGATGGGCGCCTCTACCAACTTCTCAGATTTTTGTTTTTTTTTTTTAATTCTATTCCCAGAGTTATTATTTGTTTCTTTTTTGTGTTTTTTTTCAGTTTATACTCTGAAAGACCTCTGCCTGCAGCTCATCCGAAGCCTAGTGAGACCACAAGACTTCAGGAAGCTGGATATCGTGACATCTTTGTACGACGATCTGGAAAACATACCCTGCGTGGGAAAGGATTTACGCCAACTATCGATTCGTTACTGGGAGTTGGCCACGTATGACAGCTCCTGAGCTGTCTCCTGGAATGGGATGCAGTGAAGCCGTAGTGCACCTGATCCGCGGAGATGTTTGGACTTTGTGGTGCCAATGTCCTTGATACAGAACTGGCATTTGGGGTAGATTGGTGCCCTCTGAGATGTACAGCTTTTGAGACAACTGGGAATCGCCTGATCTAACATTCAGGCATTTATAGTCTTGCCAACTTGGTTGTCAACCAGAACCAAATAGTTGAAGTGGATGTTTTTAAAGCAGAACTCCAGTTTACATCGCCAACACCCCCATCCTGCCCATTTTATAAAAAAAATAAATAAAATACACACCCTGATTTTTCAAGGGTGTGGCTGGTCTGGTGACAGCAGAAATTCTGTGCAGGAGATTTACCCCCAGTTCACATCTATGCGGGTGGTGCCAGCGCTGCGGATCCGCACAAAAATCTCTGCAGCCGCACAGAGAATTGCAGACCCGTGGGCGGGTGCCATTGGTTGTAATGGCATGCCGCCCGCACTGGAAAACGCAACCGTACTGGGAACTGAGGTCCCCATGCGGACTGCGTTTTCCAAAGTAGTGCAGAGACTTCTTTCCGTGCGTGTCACGGGCACGGGAGTCCATTCAAATGAGTGGGCTCTCGTGTCCGTGCAAAAAACGTGGCCCTCACGGCTGCATAGGTGTGAACCTAGGGTCACTAAAACTGGAGCACTCAGAATCTGGTGCAGCTGTGCATGGCAGCCAATCAGCTTGTTCAATTAAGCTCTGACAATAAAACCTGGAAGCTGATTGGTTTCTGTTCAGAGCTGTGCCAGAGTTTACCTTCTCCAGTTTTGGTAGATGTACTTACTGATGCACCACGGGGTGATACTTTGAGCCCACACCAACCTGATGACGTCTATGACAACCCAAACTCGTTATGATGGTCATTCAGCCTGGAGGGATCTAGCGGCAGAAACAAGTTTCTGCAGAAGACCACGCCATATTGATTTTTTAATTTAATGCTGCTGGGCATTTTTTTTTAAATTTTTCATAAACTGGAGTCCTGCTGAGGTTATGGGCAGAAAACCTTTTTCCCAATTTCATCTTCAACATAATTTACTAAAACTGGAGCGGCTGTGCATAGTAACCAACCCGCTTCTAACTTCAGCTTCTTCAGTAAAGTTACATAGACCCAGTGAAGGGACTGGCCGCATTATGATACACAGAGATGAAGCAGATCCTCCTGTACAAGTTGTATCTGTTTCTCTGCAGCCATCTTTTCCCTACATGCATTTAAAGTGCAGAATTTATGCAGGATCTCTCAGCCCTGAAAAGCAGGGGGCGGGTAGCTGAAGTTGCATCAGTGAGGAAAGCTCTGAGAGCTGATTGGAGGGAAGGCAAGAGTACAATCCAAACGCACACATTCCTGTGTTAAAAATGGCTGTGTGTATAAGTGGGTGCTACGGCGACCGTCGGCTGGAACCGAACAGATTCAGCAAGGGAGAATGTCACCAGCACATCAAGGATCACCAATATGGGTCCAAACGTTTTAATGAACGCTCACATAGTTATAGCAAGGCAACGTTTCAAAGTCTCGCAGGTCCCCTTCATCAGGCATGTGACCTGATAAAGGGCTCCTGCAAGACTCCGAAATGTTGCCTTGCTGTAACTATGTGATAGTTCATTAAAACTTTTGGACCCATATTGGTGATCCTCGGTGACATTTTCCCTTGCCGATTGGAGGGAAGGGACACACCCCCCTCACACAGAAACAGAGCTGAGGCTGTCAATCGCAAGCTGTGTGTTGGAGCTCCCTCCCCGTCGCCTTTTTTTTTTTTTTTTTTTTTTCCCTCTTGGTGTCAGGAAAACATGTCCAGAAGTGATTCATGCTGATAGCAGAGGAAGGAGGCAGCAGATAGAAATGACACTTGGTGCTCTGGATTGAGACAAGTACACACTATAGAGGGATATGCTTTGTTCATATTTCATGTCTGAAGTTTACAACTACTTTTGGCATTGGAAGTGAAAGCTATAAGCTGATTGGTTGCTGTGCACAGATGCTGCAGATCCTGGCTATCCAGTCTTCTTAAATACTCCTTAAATCTTTTTTTTTTTCCTTGTTTTATTGTTTAAAGTTGTGTCTTTTTATTTAGCTTTTGAAGTTTTGCTGTTTTGTATTCAATATAAAAAGCTCCATTTATTTTAAAGTGCACCTGTGCAGAGGCTGTGGACATCAAGAGCCAGTTCACACCAGAACATGGTGCGGGAAAGCCACGTTCCATGCACCGCATTTGCCATCTGAAGCGGGTGTCAGTGTTAGCGACACCCCAAGCACAGGTTGCAAGTGCAGTGCATGTACCTGCACTGTATAGTAGTACCATGTGATTCCGACTGCTGTGCATTTTTTTTTTTTTTTAATGTAGTGCATGCACTACTTTTGGTGCGGTCCGACACGATTTCAGCCCATTCGGGTGCACCCGGATTGAATGTGAATCGCACAGCATGATTCATGGTGTGAATCGGCCCTTAAGGGTAAATTCATCTTTTCACGAAAAAATGAAAAGGTGAACCTAACTCCAAATATCTTGGTCACCCGTCCTGACCCCAATGCATTAACAGTCATGACAGTGCAGTGGGTAGGCTGCCAAAATTCTGCTGCAATAGAAAGAAAGAGAGAGAGAGCTAAAGACTTCAGTGCCTGTATTGTGAAATTTGAATGTGAATTTTTTCACAATGCTTATAGGTACGTAGATGATTTAAGGGTTTTTAAAGTGATTTTTAACTGCTTATTTGAAATCTGTAAATACTTTTATATGCATGGTCTGGGCACAGGTTCACTTTAAAGTTTTTCCTTGTTTTAATGAATGTTTTGTTCAAACCACCCACAGTTCTGATGGCGTCAACATTTCCGCTGGTGGCGATTTGTCTTGTGGTTAATATGTCCACTACTACTGAGTTACTTGCGGGAGATTTCGGGGAAAATTGGCTGCTGTTGGATGTGCTACTGACGGTGCTCATCTCAGAAATCTATTTTTCAGTGTATTTTGGATCATGGCTCATTGTACAGTTTAATTAAAGTGGAACTTTAGGCTCCAAAATGGGCAAACAGGCAGGATTTTTGAATGCAGAAGACATGCTTTGTCACTTCTGTATTGAAGTTACTTACCTGCCTGTTCTCTCCTTGCATGCGCTGCTCAGTGTATAAATTCGGCAATGCCGAAGCGGACTACACTCCCGCACACGTACGGGAGTGACATCATCCCTGCCAAGCCAATGAAAAGCGAGTTCCGGGATGTTGCATCACTGGATCCAAGGGAAGTATAGTAATGCTTTCAGAATAATTTTTGAGAATCTGTAGCAAAGTTTCTTTTTCTTATTATTATACAGGATTTATGGCGCCAACAGTTTGCTCAGCGCTTTACAATATAACGGGAGACAGTACAGTTACAATACATTTCAGTACAGAAGGAATGTGAGGGCCCGGCTCGTGGAGCTTACAATCTAAATCTGGAGATCCAACCAGTATTGACACTTCCTGTTGTGGGCTGACAATGCTAGGCCATTTTCTCAGAATTAGCGGATGTATTGTTAGCCTGCCATGCGAACGGCTTCGGTTGACCATTGGACTGCCCATTTGATAGACCAGAGGAGCACTTATGGAAGGCTGACAACACTACTGCTAGGTGTGAGGCTGTGATTTTGTGTTGCCTGCCTGGTGCAGTAAGTGCTGTTACTTTGAGAATCTGCAGGTGCAACATTTTGCCACAAGTTCACAGAAAACTATTTTCTTAAAGCCCCACTCCAGAATGAATCTAGCTTTTGCCCACCCACCTCTATCCCAATCCTGATAGTCCTTATCCTGTGAAGCCAAAAATACTCCCCTAAATCCCCATCCAAGTCCCTCACTGGTGCTGGTTCCAGTGCAGGAGACGGCTAATCCAGTGCTGCAATTCCCATCCCCATCACAAGAGGACCCTGCTCCCAGCCTCCAAAAGGACACCCATAGCACCCCAAAAAGAAAGCTTAAATACTTCTAACTACTTGACAAAATAAATGCTCAACAGTTCCCTAGTAAATCACATCTCCATATCTCCTAATATTGACTGTCAGCTCCTCCCCTGCATGCAGCCCAGTTTGCGGGCATTCCTAATATGGAGTGCATGTAGAGCTCTGTTGATACTGCCTTATGGTTTCCTCCTGAGCAGCGTGTAGGGAGGGGATGGTGATCATATCCCCCTTATGTATTATACATGGTGATCGTATCCCCCCTTATGTATTATACATGGAGATCATATCCCCCCTATGTATTATACATGGAGATCATAATGACCCCCTTATGTATTATACATGGAGATCATAATCCCCATTATATTATACATGGGGATCATATCCCCCCTTATGTATTATACATGGTGATCATATCCCCCTTATGTATTATACATGGAGATCATATCCCCCCTTATGTGTATATTATACATGGAGATAAGGGGGGATATGATCTCCATGTATAATACATAAGGGGGAGGATATGATCTCCATTTATATTATACATAAGGGGGGATATGATCACCATTATGTATAATACATAAGGGGGATCATGATCACCCCCTTATGTATAATACATAAGGGGGATTATGATCTCCATGTATAATACATAAGGGGGGATATGATCCCCCTGTATGTAATACATAAGGGGGGATCATGATCACCCCCTTATGTATAATACATAAGGGGGGAAATGATCTCCATGTATTATACATAAGGGGGGGATATGATCTCTCTGTATTATACATGGTGATCATATCCCCCCTTATGTATTATACATGGAGATCATATCCCCCCCTTATGTATTATACATGGTGATCATATCCCCCCCTTATGTATTATACATGGCGATCATATCCCCCCCTTATGTATTATACATGGAGATCATATCCTCCCTTATGTATTATACATGGAGATCATATCCCCCTTATGTATTATACATGGAGATCATATCCCCCCCTTATGTATTATACATGGAGATCATATCCCCCCCTTATGTA